AAAAAAATTTCATAGACCCAAATCGCACCTCGCAAGTTAGTGCCTGTCTGTGGGAGGAAGAGAATCGCAAGCTAAAAGATTCCCACAAAGAGTAGGAATCCCAAAGGACGCCTATTGCCATGCAGACGCAGGTAACATGCACGCGCACGAAACAGAGAAGCCTAACGCGCGTAGGCTAGCCTATAAGAGCATTTGCATGCGCACGCGCATGCAGGGATAGCAAACAAGCACTTGCACTTGCGAGAAAGGAGAATTTAGCCATGAAAAAGGAAAATATTTTTCCCGTGAGTTCCATTCTAAAGAGGAAAGTATTTTGGCCCTTGCTTGTTTCCTAATCCAGATCATTACCAAGGCCTATCCATGAATGTACGCGGAAGTGATTTTAAAGCCCACATGACAACCCGCAAGCTTGAGGATACTCGCAGCTTTAACAAGAGATTCAATTTAGCCCAAGAAGAATCAAGATACAATCCTCTTGGCCTGATCAAGGGTGATTTTTAATTTTATATTTTTATCATTTTCTATTTTTATTTTATATTAAAAATAAATTAATTATTTTAATTAATTTAGTAAAAAAATGAGAGTATATTAATTTTATATATTATTTTTAGGATTTACTTATTTTACTTCATTTGTTATTTTTGTAAACTCTTCATAATTATATAAGAGGATTAGAAAAATAATCCTCCTTTCAATTTTTAATTTATATCTATTCGAAAGTTGTCAAGTTTTATTATTATCATATGGATCATGGCCTTGATCCCCCTTGGCATGCATCACACATGCAACCATGTGTGATTCACACATGTGACTGTATGGATAGGGACAAAAAGAAGTTCACCCATTGCAAAAGGAAACTTCTTCCCAATTGGGATCTTCTCTTAATAATTTTGAAGAATTTGAGTCTCACTTGGTAGAACAGTCACAATAAAGCAAGGAGAAGCCATGGGAGTTACAATTTATACTTTTATAGGAAGAAGACTTGACAAAAGAGGATAAAGTAAAGAAGCTCAATCTCCCCCAAGTGAGAGTTTGTAACGGCCCCAGAAATTTAAATGAAATGTATGTATTAAAAATCTCAAATGCGAAAGCGTAATAAAAATTTGATTAACATCCCTTACACAATAACCAAAACGTACTCAAAACATGAAGGAACAAACTAACTAAAAGAGATACTCGAAATAAGAACTATAAATATAACTATGAAGTCTTTAGGCGTCCCATTCGCCGTCTTCGTGCGGAACGGGCTCGGGAACAACGTCTTCCTGATCTGAAATGGTTAAATAAGGAATGAGCTACACCAGTTCAGTAAAGACATCACACTATCTCACCGCCACGGAAGTAAAGGTGGGTAGAAAATAAAATGACCAATGGAGCATATTTATAACGAACTCGTTTATTACATAAAACCTTTACTGTCC